AAATAAAATACAATTGAATGTAGCAAGGTCAGGAAGAAAAAGAAAATTCTAAGATGAAGTGGCTCTCCAGACAAATAATGGGTAAAGGAGCGAAAAAACACTTAAGTAAAAAAAGTTACAGCCAGGAAAAATGTCACTGTCTGAGTAGAAAGAAAACTGATAATAGACAAGTAGAAAATCTCAAAAAGGTCAAAGATTTATACATTTATCTGATTTTTTTTTTAAATTCAACTAGACTATGTTGAGAAGAAGCACCTTATAAGAGTTTGAAAAGAAAACCCTGGGTTATGAAAGAGGCATTAAAGAACATTAACTAAGTCAAGATGGAGTAGAAATCACGTGGATTATTAATTTCACTAGGATATTTAACAGCTATTGGCTAGTTTGAGTTGTTGCAGAAGTCATAAATTCCTGGAGATTGAGGGAGAGTTAGTGGATTATCTGCCTATTAATCAAAGGCGAGAAGGAAGCCCTGGTAATTAAGTAGCTGTTACCCGAACTTCAATACTCAGAAAGGCAAGTGCAAACCATCAAACAATCAATTTGCGGTCACAGAGAACTGAGAACGGAATAAGGACCGGCAGGCCTTTCAGAGAACAATTTTATTTCATGATGAAGAGACAGGAAGAGTAGATAAGAGAAATTTTAAGAGACACAGACTACATGGGTTTCAGTAATATATTTCCATCTTTAATCAGAAATTGTTTGAACTGTGGACCTCAGTGTCATGAGAGTATGTATGAGATGCCTACAGTCTTTACAATCATTTGAATTAAAACAGATTTTGTTTCATGAATTAAACAATGCTTATATGCTACAGCTATCTGAGATATTTTCATCTACAGTCACAAAGGAATTCCACCTCTTTTGATGAGCACAAAGGTAATCAGACCCAATTTTATAGGCCTGTCATAATATTGAAACAATCTGTATGGTTCCCCTATTCTTCAAGGCAGCACATCTGGGAACATAAATAATCTTATCAATCATCTCCTAAAAATGCCTTCGGGAGAAGAAATCTTGCCAAAATAATCACTTCATTCTTACAATGAATGATAGACTCAGTCTTGGCCACCAATTTATTTTATTGATGTGTTTAGCATAATCTCTCTAGAATGAACCTGATAACCCAGCATAAGAAAGGAAAAAACCTCCAGCATCCCCAATGTGGTGGTATGTTCACTTGATATTCATGTCTTCAACCATTATTTATCTCAACCAACTGCAGGCCTCTGAAATGAATATCTTACATGGGGATCTTAGTGCCTTCCCACACTGATCATGGCTATACTTCACTTTTTTCTCCAGGAAAAAAGTAGCTAATAGTTCAGGATTGTAACATTCACCAGAACTTGACTTTATATTGAAGCTGTCTGAGATAACTTCAATAGTTCAATATTGAACCATATCCATTAATGCTTTGACAG